TATGTATGTATGTATGTTTTATTTATTCATTTCATTTCATCCAAACAACAAATATAATACATACATATACATAAATACATAAATATACATATACATACATACATATACATATACACATACATACATATACATATATATACATATATACAGACATATACATATATATACATACATACATACATACATATACATATACATACATATACATATATATACATACATATACACATACATATACATATACATAAACGCATACATACATACATACATATACATATATATACATACATACATACATATACATATATATATATACATACATACATATACATATATATATATACATACATACATATACATATACACATACATATACATATACATAAACACATACATACATACATACATACATATACATACATATACATATATACATACATATACATATATAAAGATGTTATCTGATTGGAGTAGAAATAAAGCCTGATTGTACAAATCCTGATTTATTTAAGAAAATGTATTTGCATATCCTGTTACACCCAATATCTAACAAGAAACAGAGACAAAGTTGCTTTTCAGGGAAATAATTTAATACCTGCAGTTTTTTTTATTGTTGCTGATAATGTTGACACAATTAAAATTGACAAAGTGCTGTTGAATTCACTGTTCTGTCGTTCAGACATCAGCACGAGCGTTTTTCTGCCACTAGAGGGCAGTGTTTCCCCAAGCAACACTTCTCTGTGAGAATTAAAACATAAAAAATAAATTTAATCCATAATGCACAGGGGGTGGATCACAGCAAATATCTGAGTGCCAAGTAATTTAATAAATAGTTTGTGTTCTCAGTGCAGAGTGATAATGATTAAATGCATGCTGTTGCAAAATTTGTTACCGAAAGTAAAGCAACAGTTGAAAACACATCTCCTTTACCTTTTATTAAATTGTTTTGACCAAAGTATGTTCACTTTTTAAAAACTAAATAAAATGTTTCACCTCTAACATAAACTGTCTATCCCTCATTTAATGACAATAACCATATGGTAATGATGAAAAATTAATATGTGACTATTTTAAGGTATTTTTCCATTTTACACCTTGTAAAGCAATCAAGACATGATGCACAGTCTCGGTTATATTATTCCCTTATATCATAAAAACAACTAGATTTGGCTTAGTTTTTATTTTGTTTCAGCTTAAACTGGTTTGATAGCAACAGCAAATCCACAACAGAATGTATTAAAAAAATGGATTAAATATGTTAAATTAGCCAAGCTGTGGCTCTGAGTGTGAATTTATGCCTGCCAACCTCAGTGAGCATGAAGAACGAGCCGAAATACTTTCACTATGATGTGAGATACTAATATATTCATACAGAAAATAAATATTTTGTCAAAATAAAAATAAATATATTATATATTGTATTATTAATATATAAATATTTTATATTTGTATTCTGTCAAATCTACAATGTAAAAAAAAAAGAGTTGATTTCATTTCATTAATACATTTTAAACAATAAATTAGGATAAAATTTGAGCAGACGCTACTGTATTGAACTTTTATTGTTTAGGTTTGTAGTGCCCACTGAACAGTCTGAAGACTCACTTTGCTTTAAGATCCTGCCTGAGATTTATTTTTAGATTTCTCCATGTCCACACTCAAAGGTGGAGTAAATCACAGCGACGAGTGAAAATCTCACGTGGTATAGATGCACGGTGATAAACAGTTGTGATCTGAAGGTTACTTTGCGCTGCGTGCACACTTAAAGTTTTACAGTTTGTGTTATAAAACCAAAAAAGAAAAGAAAAAAAAAGAATCTTGGAGCTCGGATCCAGCATCTCTTCCCACCTCTTTACACCTGAACAGCCAAACGTCAAAGTGGTGAGACAGAGATGTTTAATGTCATCCGATACATCAGTGCCTATGTGCTACAACTTGTAGACCAATGGGAAGTTATTGTGTAAATGTTGCTTCAGTATTCACGCGGTTGTCGTTCTATTTTTACTTCTCTTCTTTCTGTGCTATTTTTGTGCTGTTTTAGCCATTCAAACGTAAAATAAAAAAAAATCATCTCTCTCTTCACCACAACGGACCGGCACAGAGTCCGCAATACTGCAGATGCCAATACCAATCTGTCTGTTAATCTCACAGTCCATTCTTCCCTCACTCATGAACAAAACCCCAAAATGCTTGAGCTCCTCCACTTGAGACAGAACCTCACTCTCAACCCAAAGAGAGCAATCCACCGTTTTCCGACTGAGGACCATGGTCTCAGATTTGGAGGTGCTGATTCTCATCCCAGCCGCTTCACATTCGGCTGCAAACTGCTCTATTGAGAGCTGGAGATCACGGTACGATGAGGACCACATCATCTGCAAAGAGCAGAGATGGAATCCTGAGGCCACCGAAGTGGACTCCCTCTGCCCCCTGGCTGCACCGAGAAATTCTGTCCATAAAAGTTATGAACAGAATTGTAACAACTCCTACCCTGAAGGGGTCCTGAATGGGAACCAAACTCTCACACTGCTTGTATAGGGACTGAACAGTCTGTAGCAACAGGCCCCCAATCCCATACTCACGGACACTCCTTACCAGGGAGGGTAAGGAGACTGATATAATTGGACACACCCTTCAAACAAACACAAAAACTAACAAAACTTCCAAAACATTGACTAAAAAAAAAACTTGCTTCATTTTTCTCTCATTACAGCTTTTGACAACTGATCTAGTATTTTTAGCTATTTGCTAACATTTCCCTACTTTTATCTGCCAGGTTTTTGTAGCTTTTAGCTACCATTCTGCTTTTTTTATTTTTTAGCTTTTAGCTATTGTGGCTCCTTTCAGCTTTTCGTTAAACTTTTGCTACATGTAGATTTTAGCTGCTCTTCTGATCCTTTTAGTGGTAAGCTAGCTTTTTGCTAGTTTTGCTCGTCTTTTGCTGCTTCTAGCATCCTGTTCGCTGTTTGCTTGTTTTTGTTTTTAGCTTTTAGCCATTCATTTGCTACCTCTAGATAGCCTTTTGCACCTTTTAGCTTTACTTCTGCTTTTGTTAGGCCAGCATTCTGCTCTTTAAATTTTTAGGTAGGCGTTTCTGCTTAGCTAGCGTTTTGTTACATTTAGCTTTTAACTAGCCATTTGCTACCTTTTCTACTTTTAGCTACCATTTAACTTTTAGCCAGGTAGTTGCTAAATTTAGCTTTTAACTAACCCTTTGCTATTTTAGCTACCTTTCTATTTAGCCATTTGCTGCTTGTGGCTTTTAAGTAGTGATCTGCATTTTTAGTTTTATCAACTCAGTTTCAGCTGTTTCAGCAAAGTCATTCAGCTCTCAGCAGCCCCACAGCATTTCAACAGAAAATGCAGTTTCTCTAGTTCATCTTCCCATTCATGGCATTTGCAAACCTCTTTGCTGTATTTTAGAAATTGTTACTGGCTCCAAGACAAACCACTGAAACAGAGCTGCAGCGCTTCTCTTCACTGCCAATAAAATAAACAAAATCAGCGTGCATCATCTGCTCCCTCCTTTTCTCCACTCGCTCCCTTTTCTAAGGACCCATTTTTCCCTTTCTCCTGCCTCCTGGCTGAAAGTCTACATCAGAAGCGTGGGGCGAAGTGGTGCAGGTGGCTGTTTTGGAAACGGATTGTTGCGTGGAAACCCCCAGCAGACGCACAGTCTGGAAAACGGAGAGACGTACAGAAACGGGTGGAAATGAGTTTGTTGGTGATGCAAGCGAGGCCGGAGGAGCCAAAGAACCAAAAACCAAGAAGAGGATGCAAGTTGAGAGGATCTGCAGCACCTCAACCTG